GGGGGGGGGGATGATGATGGTCCCTCTCTGTCCCCAGGGGTCCCTCCTGGTGGGGACAGCCCCCCTACCTTTGAAAGAGGGGGTGTTCCCTCGCCCGGGTGGGTTGGGGATCCCTGTCTGCCCCCACCTGCCCTGGGGGGGTGTGTGTGTGTGACTGCCCAGGACCCTGACTGCTTCCCGGGGGTCCCTACCTGCCCGAGGCTTTGGGGAGGGGAGTCATTGTCTCCTTTTTCCCAGGGGTTGGAGGGCTCTGCCTGCCCCATCTGCCACTGGGGAGAAGGTCCCTGTCCCAGTCTCTACCCCTGAAATGGGGAGGGGGGTTGGTGGGGATGGGTGGGGGTCTGGCCCATGGGATCCCCTCTGGCCCCGAACGGGTTGGGTGGGTGTCTCCTTCTGCCCTTGGGGATGATGAGAGGGGAAGGGGAGGTCCCACTTTCTCAGGAGGTTGGATGTCCCCACCTGTCCTCAGGGTCCCTGCCTGCCTGAGGGTGCCCCCCCCACCCCCCCCAAGTACCCCAAGGGTGGAGGTCCCTAACTGCCCCCATGAATCCTGCTGGAGGGGACCCTCTGCCCTTGAAGGGGGCATAGGGGGGCCCCCTCTGTCCCAGGAGTCCCCTGGGGCAGGGGGGAAAATGTCCCTGCCTTCCCCAGGGTACCCCCATCTACCCAGGGCTCTGTGACCCCCCCCAGCTCCTGCCCCTGGTCCCCAAGTGCCCCCCGGTTGTCCCCACATGCCCGGGGTGGAGGTCCCTGACTTCCCACAGGGGTCCCTGCTGAGGAAGACCCTCTGCCCTTGAAGCCAGGGATGGGGGGGGCCCTGGCCTGAGGACCCTGTGGCACTGTGGGGTGGAGGTCCCTGTCTGTCCTCAGGGGTCCCTGCCTGGGGACCTTCTACCCTTGAAAGCGGGAGGGGTGCCCCTGACCTGGGGGATTCTCTTTGGCCCTGGGGAATGTTGGGGGGGGTCCCTGGGGTCCTGTCTGTCCCCAGGTACCCCCATCTGCCCCAGAGGTGCATGTGCCCACCTGCCCCGGGGATGATGAGGACGGAGACAGCAGTGGCTGACCTGTGGCACAGGTGTACAGGGTGGAGGTGCTGTGCAATGGCCGGCGGCACACGGTGGTGAAGCGTTACAGTGAGTTCCAGGCGCTGCACAAGCGGGTGAGACCCCCCGGGTGAGACCCCCAGCACTGCAGGGGGACACAGGGAGGACCAGCCTCCTCCTCCATGGTTCCTGCTGCCATGATGTCCCCTGCCACTCTACTCTAGATCAAGAAGACCTGCAAGGTCCCCGACTTCCCTCCCCGCCGTGTCCCCAACTGGATGCCCAAAGTGCTGGAGCAGCGCCGGCAGGGACTGGAGCTTTACATCCAGGTAAGCGGTGGGTTTTGTGTTTTTCTTTTTTTTTTTGGGGGGGGGGTGGAGGGGGTGGGGGGTGTGGAGGCGGTGCTGACTCCCCCTGATGCACGGCAGGGTGTCCTGTACCACAACCAGGAGCTGCCCCAGGACGTGCTGGACTTCCTGAAGGTTCGGTGTTGCCAGCAGGACCCCAAGGCCAGCAGCCCCCCGTGAGTAGATGCGCAAGCGGACAGTGCCGTTGGGCTTTGCCAGCTCTGATTTATCCCACACGGTGCCGGGTTTGTCCCCCTCACCCATTGTGAGCACCCCCAAGACACAGGGTTGGGGACTGGCACGCAGCCAGGTCACCCAGGGTGTAAGTGGGACCCTTCACCGGGCGCTGACATCTCCTCTCCCATGGCAGCACCGGCTGCCTGCCCTCCCAGCGGCCCGTCGTCGGCTTCTGCACCGACCCCTACACGCAGCCACCGGGCACTGGTAAGGAGCAGGACCAGGGATGCAGGTCCCCAAAGCCTCCAAGGGAAAAGGCTCTTTTGGGCCCCAGCAAAACATGTTTTTCCTTTAACGGGGCCTGGGAAAGAAACAAAGCTGGTCCAGCTCCCCCCTTTCGTCACAGACCTGCTCCCCAACACCATCCTTACTGGGGTGCTGCAGGGCCTCTACATCCCCTGAGCTGCAACCCCAGCCAGGCAGCGCCCCGAGCCCCCGGCCTGCCGGGCTTCTGAGCACCCACCAGCACTCAAGGGCCACAGTGGTGAGCAGCTGGGCAGCGGCGGAAAGGATCCCTGCAGTAAGAACTCCTCCCTGCTGGGATGGGGCAAGAAAACTGGGTGAGAAGCCAAGGCGTATGGTAGGGAGCCACAGCTGCTCTCCAGGCCAGCGCTGCTCATCCACCACCATCCAAAGCGCCTTTGTTAGGGAGCAGGAGCTCTGCCTTCTGCCCTGATGTTTTGGGGTTGTAGTAGGAGCCTTTGGACCCTGAACCATGATGGAAAACCCCTCAGCATCTGGGCTTTGGTGCAATAAATCACTTGGGCTTGATTGCCAAGAGATCGCCATGCTCTGTAATTCTGCAAAGCAAATCCAGGGCCAATCATGGCACTGCTCTCAGCTTGATGAAATGTGAATGAAGGGGGTTGAAGGGTTGAGGGATGCACCCAGCTGAAGGATGCTAAGTGATCTGCACCCCTCCAAGAGCAGAAGAGAGGAAACTCTTTAAAAAACAGATTGGTCACATTTATTGGTGCATGTGCTTCTTACAAAAGTGATGGGAAGAGGAGCCAGCACCCCGTCCTGCCCGCTGGCCAGCGGCAGGGTGAAGGGGGAGGCCGGGCAGCAGGGGTGCGGGGCACAGCGGCTCTGCTGCTGCTCACCCACCCTGGGATGACAGGGAAATGCATGGAGGGGGAATTACTCTTTGGCGATGGCAAATGGCTTCTCCACCTCGATGGTGCCGCAGTCGGCGATGGTGACATCCTTCAAGGGCTTGTCCCGGCTGTCTGTCTTAGTGTTCTCCACCTTCCTCACCACATCCTGGGGAAAAGCAGAGGTGTGAGAGTGAGGCAATGCTGGGCATGGGCAGAGCCAGCTCAGCGCAATCCCTGCCCCAGAAGGCGCCTCCCAGCCCATTCTCCACAGTGCTCTCCCCCCAGCCAGCCTGCCTAGGCAGCATCTGCCTGGTCCCGCTCTCCCCCTGGGAATCGATCACGCTTTTACCGCCCATCACTCCCTTACCATGCCCTCCAACACTTTGCCAAAAACCACGTGCTTGCCGTCCAGCCACGGCGTCTTCACGGTGGTGATGAAGAACTGGGAACCGTTGGTGTCCTTGCCAGCGTTGGCCATGCTCACCCAGCCAGGGCCGTAGTGCTTCAGCTTGAAGTTCTCATCAGGGAAGCGATCCCCATAGATACTTTTTCCTAAGGGGAGGGGAAAAAGGCTACGTTGTGCTTGGTCATGGAAATATGTCAGGGTAGGGGAGGTGATGGCAGCTCTCTCCACAGGCTGGGTGCGGTGGATGAGGACATCCTGAGGGGAGACTAACTACCAATACCACAGGGCTGCAGGGAACCACGAGCTACCTGCGACTGAAGGGAGCTAAAAGCGCCCCATGAAGTGGGCATGGGCAGGAGAAATCATGCCCCCAGGGGACTGGAGCAGGAGGCTGTGTGAGAGCAGATGAGATAAGAGCTTACAAGCCCAAATGCTGGTATCATTAGCTTTACTAATGTTTGCTATGTGCTGGTGGAAGGTTTGGACTCTGCTGCTACCAGACTAAATGTGTCCTGGCAGCCAGGAGGCCTGGCAGAGGCACCAGCTGCTGCAGAGGAAAGTTTTCTTAGTGAGGAGCTCCAGGTCTTGTGGGGGCAGAGGGCACAGTTACAGGGGTAACATTCAGGTAACAGCCAGCCAAGCCTCACTGCGCCCATCCCTCCCCAGCACCAAGCTCTGCTTTGACGCCAGGTCTCTATGAGCTGTGTGCCCACTCATGCCCACTGTGGCACCATGCTCCAGCTCCCCGCTGGTCCCCAGGGGTAGCCAGGCAATGGGTTGGGAGGCATGGCCGCCGGACAGCGGCTGGATCCTCGGGTTGGCGTGGGCCAAATTACCTCCAGTGCCATCTCCACGGGTGAAGTCTCCTCCCTGGATCATGAAGTCCTTGATCACGCGGTGGAACTTGCTGCCCTTGAAGCCGAATCCTTTCTGGGGGTGGGGAGGGAGAAAACGGAGTGAGGCAACGGGACAGACTAGAGCTGAGCTCCCTCCATCCAGCTCTGCCCCAGGGCACCAAGCAGGAGCCTCCTAGGGGGCTGGGTGAGGCCCGGCCAGGCAGCTGCTGGCCCCTCACCTCTCCGGTGGCCAACGCCACAAAGTTCTCCACCGTCTTGGGCACCGTCTTGCCAAAGAGCCCGATGACGACGCGGCCCACATCCTCCTCGCCGATCCGCAGATCGAAGAACACCTTGGGGGCGGGGGGGGCATGGACAGAGGTAGGTTAGGGGGCCGTCAGTGGAGCCAGCCTCACCTTGCTGGCCCAACACCCCCCCCCCGCCAAATCCAGCCAGGCCTAACCTCGCCGAGCA